TTCCCTCGTTCCCCGTAAATGGGGGAAACCTCCAAAAAAATTACAAATTTAAAAATCGCTAATTTTCGAAATTTTTTCAATTTTTTTTAATAAAAACTGCCGTAACTTTTTTAAAAATGAAAATATCAATATAATTCTTTCTTATATAGATGCATGATGTCATTACCTATCATTTGGTATATTTTTTTTATTAATCTGACTTTTTACCTGCCNTTATATAGATCTTTCATTCGACATACTGTTTTTTTAAATCGGACCATTTCCCTAAATACAGGGGGGATTCAAAACATAAAAATGCATATAGAAAGTAGAACTTTTTCAACGTAACTTTTGAAAGTGTTCCGGAAGGTCTGACACTTTTATATATATCTTAAATTAAAGCTAATGTAATCTACTTTATTATGTAAAAAAAAATTTTCAAACTTTATTTTGTCTTCACGGTGAAAATGGCTACCAAATGCTATTATTGTGTGAAAATTTTCGATTTTGTATTTTCCATTTTTAACTTTATTATGCTATAACTTTTTGAAAAATGTATGAATCATTACAATTTTTTTATGAGAAGTAGTATTTATATAGATCTTTCATTCGACATACTGTTTTTTTAAATCGGACCATTTCCCTAAATACAGGGGGGATTCAAAACATAAAAATGCATATAGAAAGTAGAACTTTTTCAACGTAACTTTTGAAAGTGTTCCGGAAGGTCTGACACTTTTATATATATCTTAAATTAAAGCTAATGTAATATACTTTATAATGGTAAAAAAAAATTTCGGACTTTATTTTATCTTCATGGTGAAAACAGACATTAAACTTAATAAAAAAAATACGATTTTTGTAAAAAAATTCTTTTTTATATTTTTAACTTTATAATGCTATAACTTCTCGAAAGATGTATGGATCAATATAATTCTTTTTTTTGTAGATGCATGATGTCTTTACCTATCATTTGGTATATTTTTTTTATAAATCTGACTTTTTACCTGCCTACAGGGGGGGATTCAAAATGACAACTTTTTCACAAAAAATTGACTTTTTCAACTTAAATTTTGAAAGTGTTCCGGAAAGTCTGACACTTTTATATATATCTTAAATTAAAGCTAATGTAATATACTTTATCATGGAAAAAAAAAATTTCGGACTTTATTTTATCTTCAAGGTGAAAATGGCTACCAAATGCTATTATTGTGTGAAAATTCTCAATTTTATTTTTTACATTTTTAACTTTATAATGCTATAACTTATTGAAAAGTGTATTGATCAATATAATTTTTTTATGGGAAATACTATTTTTTAATAATCCCTTTTTCATTCGACATACTTTATCTTAATCAGGATATTAATAAGGAACTAGCAGTTTATGAAGCTTTTGGAATAATCCACCAATTTTTTAAAATTAAACACTATCTAAAGATTTGCATCGAAGCATTTTTTTTTATAGTGATTTTAATCACTGTCAGATATCATTATACTTGATCCAACTATGCCACGTCACCACTGTGCCGCGACCCCCCTGTGCTGGGTTTTTATTTACTTCTATTTATAAGTGATTAAATATTTTTTATGTCTATATATTATTTCTTATAAATTTAAGAAAAATACTGGTCGATAATAACTTTTTAACCAGTATTTTGGAAGCTATTAATAACTAAACATGTAGGGATACTATTTATTATAAACCGCACAATTATTCATAAAATAAAAATAATTTTGAAATTTTTTAATTATATCTAGTTACATATAGTATATTATTAGACATGTAATACTGTTTTAGGTTCATTCCTTATTCCTTATTTTGGAAATTATTAATTTGTAAACATAATATCACTAAAATTAACCTAAAAAATTTTCAAAATTAACTTTTTTTTGTAAGTAATTAAGTGGATTATAAATATCGAATTACTCTGTATAAACTGATCCTGAGATTCGAGCTATGTTATTTTTATCATTATGTATTTTTCTGTTGTGCTACTTTTTCCCTACTTTATAATAATATTCATAACTCCAAAACTATTAGTCACTTAAATATATATATATATATATAGAATTCAACCTAGTCAAAAAATAAAAATAAAAAATGTCAAGATTTTTATTATTTTAGGAAAAATTTAGTGGTCAAAGATAAATCTTTCACTCTGAATATAAATCAAAAAATTTTCAAAGAAAACTATATAAAATAATCTCGACGTTATTGAGCAAATTAAATTAAAAAAAAAATTTAGTAAATTTTAAGCTCACGATTAAAAAAATTATTATGCTATTTTTTATCAATATAAAAATATAAATACTTTGCAACTCGGCATCGAAAATCATTTTAACATCTGTATTTAATTTTATTTATAACAGTATTTATAATGATGACGATTGTCTACTATTTTGAAGATTTTTCCAACGTTAATTAAAACTTTCTTGTCATTTGTATTCTATCATTTATAATTCTTAAAATTCTTTTTAGACGAAATCATTATGATTTATTTAAAAGTTGGTATATTTATATTATCATTAAGCTTTATTTGCGACACGCAGGTAACTTTTTGTTTACTATTCAATATACATAATTATTAAATAGATTTTTCTTTAAATGTAAAGAGTTCTGGGCTAAATGCAAATGACATTGCTATCTATGAAATACTTATAAAGAATTTTTATAATACACCAAATATTATACAGACTTATCTGAATAACGTTGGAATCGTAGACAAATTCGCTATGTTTAATTGGAACGGTAATTTTAGCATTTATTTTAATAATAAAATAATTAACTACAAATCGTAGTAATAAAAAATTTATTTTTGAATATCGTTTTTTCATTAAAACTCAAAACGTCATCTTTTAAAGAAATTTAAGACATTTTGTGGAATTTAGAACATTTTGAACTTACTGAAAATTTAATATATGTTACATATGAAATCATGTATAACTATATTGGCATTTGTTGTATGTTATAAAAAATAAATGATGCTTTATCATCCGAACATAATTAAACAAATATGCTTAATCTAAAATTTGAAAAAATGTAAAAGATATGTATTTAATTTTTTTTATCGCAATTTTTTTGCGATGCAAAGTAGTATCCAAGATTTTTTATTATGGTAGGTTAACATAAATAAAAAAAATTTTGTTGTAATACATAAATAAAGTAAATTATATTTTATAACTTTTTGTTTGAAATGATAAAATAAATTTTTGATGACTTTTTAATGGTTTTAATTTAATAGAACCATCAAATATCATGATCGATAAGTGCTTGAATATTTTGGCAGAAACAGAAAAGAGTGGCGATAACGATAGTGAAGTAAAAATAACAACATAATTAATTGTATTCAAGTAGTAACATTATACAATAATAAATTTTTATGTATTATATATAATTCAAGCGCTTTTTCACTAAATTATATATCTTTAATTATTTTAAGTTTGAGAGATTGACAATAAATGACGTAAAAAACATCACTAATATATTTCACGAAAAAGATGATATGAAAAATGGTGTATTGAATAAAGATCAATGCTATTCCTTAATTGATGATCTTTACCACACGGAAAATAATATAAAAAAATCACGTTTTTACGGTGAAGATGCAAGAAAAATGAAAAAAGCATTTGAAAAAAACCGTAGTAGGTCACGAACATAACTTAAGCTATTTCTTTTTAATGAGGCCTAAGAAACAAGGGTTTTTTGCCGTAAAACATTAATATAAGAGTTATAAACAGAAAATTTTTTTTTTTATTAATTTTTTTCTAAACAAAATTGTTTAGTAGTTAGATGTTAAAGTTCATTGAAATTTTTTATGATTTAATTTATTAATAACTTAAAATAAATCATATAAAAATAAAGTGTTAAATAAATAAATAAACACATTCTAGCAAAATTAATTCCTTCTCGGCTAAGCAATTAAACTATAATTTGTTAGGGTAGCAAAAATATACACTTCCAAAGATCGCATTTTTTATTAGTAAAGACCTAATCGCAACACTTAAAATCGAAATTACTTATAATTACTTATAAATGCTTTAATTAGTATTTTATTGTACATATTGCTTAGTATAAAGTTTATAACTAAATAATTATAAAATATTTAAATTTATCACACGTAAAAAAGTTTTCTAAGAGTCTAAACTAAAAAATTAACAAATGATGTACGGTAACTGTTACTAACAAAATTCTAAAAACCAGAAACGTTATTAGGAGAAAACAGGTCGGTTTAATAAGATCCTCTGATAGGGATTGTAAAAATTTATTCTTTGTATATTACTATGCTTATTACAATAAATATTTAATAATATTAACAATAAAGTTATCAATGGGTCTAGTAATGAAGGTGTTATGTAATAGGTATTTAATTAGGGTTGTAATTAGGAGTGTAGCAGTATATTTACATATATTTTTTTTTTGTGGAGGTTTGGATAATTATTTTAATTTAAATAGAATTTTACAATACTTTTTTTTGTGAACTTTTTTCTTGTTTATTACTCTTTTAAAAATACCATTTTCAATAAAAAAATTAGTTTGTCGCATTAATTTTGAGGAATAGAAACACTTTAGCCAATAAAGTGTGTGGAATTGCGTCAATACTTAAACAATTGTCAATAATTTATGTACCTCTAAAAAAATGTTCGACGGCTACCCTCTTTGATATTATAGTTTTTTCGACTAGATTGATAAGACGTTATCCAACTGGATGGCACTCCATAATTTCATCGATTATATTTTTGTAGTTAAAGTGTATACTAAAAATGTTGTTGAATATTATGGATGCTGAAACAGTTAAAAATTGTTGAGATGTAAGTTTGAATATTTAGTGTGTACCTCAGAGTATTGAAAACTATGACATTTTCTTTGGAAGGATATAATAGTATCGGAAGTAACTTTAGCGTAATTAAAGATTGGTTTGAATAACAATTATTTTACTCGTGTTAGGAAAAGGATTGTATCTAGATGATTATTTACCAAACAGATGTTTAAATGCTCTATAATAGTAAGAAATGTACTTATGAATTTATTGATAGGATATTATTGAAATGTAGCTTAGACTGCAAGACAATATGCAATACTCACTAACATACGACTGTTTACTATAAGGATAAAACATGCACTGTTACTATTTAGTTTTTTTTAGCTTCGATGCGAAGCTGAGAAGGTATTAATTTTACTATGATGTGTTTTTTTATTTTTTTTTTACAATTTTCTTATTTTTTTAGATTGTCAACATTTCAACCTAGCAGAAGTAATGAAAACAATTTTAAAAATTAAAGCGGAAGCTAGCGGAAAAAAATTTAATTTATTTATGCTAAATGTTGAATAGTAATTAAATAGTAACTATTATATTAATAATATAATAACAATTTTATTTTCGGTTGATATCAAAATATAAATTACCACAAACAAAAACTATTTTATATTATATTACACAGTATACGCAATATTTACTAATGATAATAAAATATTGTAATTATAATATGAGTGTAAAAATGTAATTAAATTGTATCACGATAAATAAATTGATAATTATATTTTTAATGATGTCATTATGTAAAAATATTTAATATAATACAATGAACAAAACGACAGGGATATAATTGTCTCAAATATTAATATACCATATTATCAGCAAACATAATTTTAATTATTTTAAATAAAATAATAATTATTTTAATTATTAGATATAACTATAATATTTGATAAATACTCATATTTGACTTTTAAAATACTACAACGCCGATTAATTATATTAGTTTTTCAAAATTCGATATTTTTAAAAATTAAGGAAGAAAAGTCAATAATAGTAAAAAGGCGCGTCATAAAACTTTATGCAAATCGTCGTTAAGGCACAATACCTTACATCTCACTATTTGGCAAAAAAGGGTTGGAAAATTTATATATTTTAATTTTTTTTTAAATCACTACACATGGTGATTCATTAACCTTCTTATTATTTTAATTTATTTTCACACAATTTATGTTAATCAGCTCTTATAATATTATATAATAAATAATTGGTTTAAAAAACCACAATATAAACAAATAGTGAAACTCTAAATGTTCTACGTACTCCGTAAGTATATTTAAGACTGACATCATTCTATTTAGTGGAGCTTTTTTTTTTTTTCATAATTAGATAGACTGAATATTATATAAAAAAATCACGTAATTTGGTGTTACTTAAACTGAGTCTTTCTAAAAGTCGTGGAGCATCGATTCTCACAGTAGACTATGAAACGTAAGCAAAAAATTTCCGGTCTTTCTTTTAAAGAAATAACCATTAGAATATTTCGCAACACTTTCCCTCCCACCTAATTAGAAAAATATATGCATAAATTCCAAAGAACTAGTCCAAAAGTTGCTATGACCAGTTATTTTCGATTTTTAAGCTAGTTAAATATTATATATTTTGTCATTTAAAAGAATTAAGCTGACGCCCTTATAAGGTATAAACCGAAAAAGTACTTAATAATTAATAAAACAAAAAAATATTCGAAATTAATTTTTTTTAGAAAAATTGAGCGGGTTATATTAAATAAATCGTTTTGTATAATATATATTATAATAATAATTTTTTTCCAATATAATTATTTCAAAATACTAACATTTAAAAAAAATTATTTACTTACTAAATAATTTAATTTCCTACCAAAATTGTAGATAAATACAAATAAAAATGATAATTTGTTTTTTTTTAAGAGTAAAGTTGTTGATTCTTTCAAGGGTTATTTCATATATTAATAGCAAATTTTGTCTGAGCCACTAAGACATCTATGAGGCTTAACTGACTAATAGACACTTATCGCCATGTTCGAGATTTAGTTATGAATCACTGACAAAAATAAGAAGGAATTACGGGGACTCAGTGTCAAAAATGTTAGAAAATAATATGGATTGCTATATGATAACAATGAAATGATATATTTTAAGGCGAGGGAAAATGTTAAAATATATCATTTGTCTATGTATAGAAAAAAAATCATTTTCTTAAGGAAATTAAGCTTGTTTCAATTAAAAAAAACACGCACTAGCGGATTTTATGTAGTTTTTCCTTAGCACAATACAGAATATTTAAATTATAATCAGACTAATAGTCATTAAATCAGATTTAAGTTATAAATACCAACAGTGAAAGTTTGTACAAAAGTATCAAAAAAAACTTTATACGTTACTTTGATTTTATCTACATCATTTATAGTTTTACTCTGTACGATATTTATCGTTTAGGTCTTGATGTTTGTTCGTATTTATGAACCACACAAAATATTACCGCTACGATGCTATTTTAATGGGAAGCTTGATCGTTAATGTGAATCCCTTCCTTGCCTAAACTTGATATGATATTTGATTAGAAATACTGAAGGTCTATACTTAACTTCTTTAGTATAATAATGTTAATTATATATCATTATGCCCTTTAAATTAATGAATAAGTAATAGTGAAAATACTTGAACAGTTGATACTAACATTTATAATGATAGACATTATATGTATAGGAACTTCGCGTGAAGATAATAAAAGTTAAAAAAAAAAAAAATCATTAGAAATATTTAATCGATAATTCGTTAATTGGGTTTGGGTTTCAAGTTTATATTACCACGAGGGCTCTCAAATAATAGAACCGACACACTGAATAATACTAAATATTTTTTTACTTCCTGACTGAAATATTTTTAATTACCTCAAATTCAGTATAGTGAAAGTACAATAATGATTTTAAACATCAAAACAGTAATCAGTAGAAATACCTAAATGTTTACAAAAGTTATGTGCACAACATAAACTAGCTTACACTTTGAATGAAATGGCGGTAATTGTAAATTCGGTGTTTATCTCTGAATATTTAGAACATGTTATTGTATATTAATAATTTCTGGACCTTATATGCGTTTCTATCATCTTAAATACAAGTTCGAAGTAAAAACTTGCGCATATATCTCAAAAAAATGCTTTTAAAATTACCCCACTTCCTTTCCAAATCTTTTTTTTATCTTTGTTATTGTTCCAAAATCATTTTAATTATATCAATATTTAATCTAAATAAAAATGATGAGGTTCAGTATCAATATATCGTTTTTAGAAGAACTGAAAGTTTAATTAAATTCAAAACTCTAAAGGCATAANCTGACTGAAATATTTTTAATTACCTCAAATTCAGTATAGTGAAAGTACAATAATGATTTTAAACATCAAAACAGTAATCAGTAAAAATACCTAAATGTTCACTAAAGTTATGTGCACAACGTAAACTAGCTTACACTTTGAATGAAATGGCGGTAATTGTAAATTCGGTGTTTATCTCTGAATATTTAGAATATGTTATTGTATATTAATAATTTCTGGACCTTATATGTGTTTCTATCGTATTAAATACAAATTCGAAGTAAAAACTTGCGCAAATATCTCAAAAAAATGCTTTTAAAATTACCCCACTTCCTTTCCAAATATTTTTTTTATCTTTGTTATTGTTCCAAAATCATTTTAATTATATCAATATTTAATCTGATGAGGTTCAGTATCAATATATCGTTTTTAGAAGAACTGAAAGTTTAATTAAATTCAAAACTCTAAAGGCTTATAAATATTTTTTTAATCGAAAAAGAAACACGACAAAAAATGCGTTAATTCCTTCTCGTGTTACATTATTACACAACTACATTATCAATTTATTCTTATTTCTTTATATAAATACCAAATACACAAAATGTTAAACGTAAGTATCGTCCATTTTCTAAAAAGCTTAACCTTTTTAAATTTTAGTTAAAATTTCCAAATAATATTTTCTAGTGAACATTTTTACGTTTTAATAACGTAAAGTTTACTGATCGACGTTTTATTGTTTTATTTTACCGCGAGCGAGACTGAGTTTGGTGCTCGCAAGGTGTCGTGGACACATTTTAAACATCATTAATTCCTAAGTTTTTTTACGGTTTTGTCAGCTATTAGGTACACAAAACACGCTGGTCGTGACTGACATACTGTTGTGACGTCGATCAAGTGTCCTGTCGCACGAAAATGTGTTTGCTCAATTAATACATTCGTGTCAATAACAATATTACATTGGATGATAAAACTGTTTTTCATAATCGACCAAACTAATTACTTTGTAATTATTTGTGCACTTCTAGAGCAGTACAATAAACATAATTGGTCTCGTATAATGGTTTAGACTGCGCTTTACCGTCGCTACCCCGATAAACAATGGGCTGGTGCGTTGCTACTCCGCTGAACAATGAGGCGGCACAACGTAATAATGTACAATACGATTTCGACATTAACATACGGTTATTGTAGTATTTGGGTGTGTAGTAATTAGTAAGCACGGGCAAATGCACAGAACCAAGTTTATTAACATATAATATACCAATTACCGACTGATTAACATACACATGACATACTAACAGAGACGGCCAGCAACGCGGTAATAACACGGTGAGAGTAGTAAAACCATAAAATAACATTGCCGCGAATACGTGAATGATAATAATATGCATATATATATATATGCAATAACGTTTGGAGAGACACCACCCCGTGGTCAGTTTAAGCGGCTCGTCCCGACCAAGGCCGCAAAATAATATCGCGATAACCACCTCGCCGGAGTTCCTGTGATCGTTGGCCATCGGTCGGTATCGGTGCCTCGGGCTCGGGAACACCGCATGCCACTCGCCGCCACCGGTCGGTTTCGCAAAACGCCGCCGTCCGGTGAAACTGGTTCGCCGCCGCCGCCGCCGCCGCCGCGTGTACGCGTTACACACATGCGCTCGCCGTCCATTCAGTACGGCGTATACACCGGTTGTGCGCGCTCACGTGGTGTGTCCGACTGACGGTCCGCGATAGACCCGACAGACTGAAAACCGTTCGTGTATTAATAATTTCTTCTCGGTATTTTTTTGGGGTTTTTCTGGGATCGTGTGAGTGTTAAGAGTGTCCGGAGTTTTGTTTAATCGCGGTCGTCCGGAGAAAGTGCGAATATCAGTACAGTGTTTTTCACCGCCGTAATTGCACTGATGCGTGCCAGTAGTGGCTGTCCAGCGGCAGTGGCGGCGTTTGCTCGTTACCGATGTCTCTGTGCCACAGCCTTTCACGACCGAGTCCAAAGCTTCGCATGAAACATGGCACAGATGTCGACGGATGAATATCGCCGACGTAGGCGCACCGGCGCTGACGAGCAAATGCCGTTCCCGTCCGTTTGTCGTTTAGTCGAAAAGTACACGATGCTTATCGAACGGCACCGTCAGAAACAAAACGGACTGTTGGTGACCGGATCGAATCGGCAGCCGTTGTCGCCAATGTGCAAGCCGAGACGTGCCGCCCAGACGATTGACGGATGTTCGTCCGATTATTCTTCAATGCCTAAATCGACGGCGCCATCCAGTCCAGCGTTTAGCGACGATTGCACCATGTGGAACCAGCTGATGGACGATGAACCGTTGGACGACGCGGAACACTATCAGCAGCGGAAACAGCAGGGACAACAGGATCAAGAGGTGTTGCGAGCAAAAGAACAGCAACTCTGCAACGGCAACGACGACGGCCGACGGCGGCTGAGTTGCGAATCGCTGAACGGACCCGGTAAATAGTAAAAAATATCATTTGAACGTGTGGTTGAAGCATATGATCGTCGGCGGCGGTTCAAACGACAAGGGTGGGGAGGGAGAGACGCGACCACGTGCTCGTCACTCGTTTTTCACACGACCGCAACTTTATTGCATCGCGAAACATTAAACGCGGTTTTTTCAAAAATCACGCCAAAATCGGATAAAATTTGGCACATTTTACACTTTTCAATCTTAAATGAAAAGCTTTACGGTCGTTAAACGCATTTTGACGGCGTGACGTTTCTCGTATAAAAAAAAAAAACGCGTGCTAAAATGTAAATGTAAAAAATGTTGCACACTTTTTTATGAGTTATGATAATAACAATGTTGACGAAATTGCTGTTAAAAACACATTCGCCTTGCTCTGTCAGCGTCAATGAAAACGTATTTAACTTTACTTATATCTTCCCAGTAAATAGCTTTGCTTTTCACATGCATCCGATACATTTTCCAGCGGTTGCTCACGGCGCCCACCGCTAATTTAACTATCAAACATAAAACTCATAAAACAGAATATTCAACTGAGAACCGAGTCTGAATTATCTACTTATATCTGTGAGGCATTAAGTTTCTAGAACACCACAATAATGATAATTTATTAGTATTTGGATTATTATAAACTATATGCGATCAGACCGCTAAAAGCGCTAACCACATACTTACCACCGCTTTAAGTTACACAATGTACCGATGTACATAAAACGCTTCCACATTGTGAAGCTGCTTTTTATAAATTTGATTACAATTTATGAGTCCATAGGATTACTTTAAGTGAATTGAAGTAGGTTTTAAGATTATTTCGGTTTCATGGCAATTAAGATCTACAACTTATATGATATGACTGTTTCGTTATTATAAGTAGTAGCGAAAGACATCAGATAATATTAATACGATCTGACGTTGTTCAAAATACTTTTATTCGGAGACCAAGGCACTTTTTTTAACGTTTATTAAAATTAAAAAGAAATTTAACGGTAAAAGTTATAACTTTTACCTCTACGGATACCTTTTGTAAAAATATAGAATAAATAAAAATATTTATTGAATATACAATCAATAGTTTTGTTAGCTTTTTTTGATTTATTACATTGCAAAAATAAAATTTTAATTTGTGTATTTGAACAAAACATACCCAATAAATTTAATAAGAAAGAAGTATACCATTAGAAATGATGATAGTAACGCATTATCATAATAAAGTCATTATTTACGTTTTTTTGTTGGTATAAATTAAATTCTTTGAAATTTCGGCGACGCCGTTATAGGGAAATTACATGCAAAATTGTAATATAATCGTAGAACAAAATCCGATTTTTTATTACAACACAAAAAATATTGTTTTTGGCAAACAATTTACGTGTGGGTTGTCATTGTGGGTTGCTTATAATAGATTTTTCGATATTCAAATGCAAAGCATAATTTATGATCCAGTAAACCAATATAATTGTCATGTTTTGCTGTTAGAGGAATAGTGAAAGGATTGAGGCACTTAAATATTTTACGTAATTCGGCCTGTACATTTTTTAAAATTTATTTTATTTGGTAATCTAAAAAAATTGAGAATAACTTAAATCTTTAATATAATGAATTTGAATCTAACTAAACTAATTAAATTAAAGCTCAATCCTTAGTAATATGCCACTTAAATGTACGGAATACAACTAATTACAACAAATAGTCGGTCCAACTATTATATCTAGTTAGAATACTAAATAAATGTTCAAATATTTTTTATAGTTCAACTCTTTGCCTTAGTTCTCTTAACAATATAATCGTTTTGTCGCTAAATTAACCGTAATTGCTAATCGGGCCTACAATGTAGTTTTTCCGCATATAATCATAGTCTTACTATTATTTATTACATTTTTATCAGAACACCAGCTAACATTTGGCATTTGGACATTGGTTTTTAGCGAATTTATTAAAGGTTGTCGAGTGACATGCCTTAGAATTTTAGGCGCTGTAGAATAAAATGAATTTCTTAAACACTTTTTCATTCTTGAGTCAATCAAGCGTTTTTGTGGTTGGTGAAATGTTTAATCTAAAATATTAAATTGTTAACCGTGGTTCATTAATTCAAATTTTCACTTAAAAACGTTCTCTGGTATTAATAAATGTTAAAGCGAACGTTGGAATCCGAGAGGGTGTCTGTACTTGGGTCGCATACAAATTGTTCATTATACGTCACATATTTGGCGAAGACCATTTTAAGTTCACTGCCTTTCGGTGAAACGACACGAATGACCAACTAACTGAATCTAATATTTTCCGACACCGAGACGACGTCATAAATAACATTTTCAAGAAACATATTTTAATTGTTGTAAAACTGCGTCGCTATCGATTTATGTACATCACGTGTGATTTATTAACTTCAAAAATATCATTTTCGCGTCATACGACCTATGCTGGAAATAAGTCCATCCGCATAAATCTAAATTATACCGTGTCGTTTGTTATGAACTATGAAAGTTATCTGACATGATTTACTAAGCCACATGGACCGCAGTCCTTAAAAAACTATATCCTAATTACTGTTATTGTTTCAAAAATTAATCCCAGACCGGGCGAAATTAAATTAACTTGGTGAATATATTAACATTTATTTTAATGTTTTCTACACAATGTTTCATAATTAATGCGATTTTCGTGAGACGTTGACATTTTACTACGAGCTTACTCAAATTAGTATCCTAATAAATTTCAGGAAACTTATTCATTATCTTCATTGTTGTTTACCGCGCTTTATAATTTAGATACCTTGCTTACTGCTATAAACTTACCACCTCTATAAACGCCATACAGTTGGCCTCTTGTATTTTTTAGCTAATAAAATAAAATCAACACGGTCGATAACTGTCAATTGGTAACATGATATGTCTTGCTTTTAATGGAAATATAAAACGGATTTTGTTTGGTGAAAAGTTTTATAGGAAAACATAACAGACTTATGGCCTATAAAAATTTCCCTAGAGTATAAAATAACAATTATTGTTTGACAATTTTATTACGCAGCACAGCTAGTGTTGGTATTAATAAGCGCCTTGCTATAATAGTAAGATGAGATTTATATCAATAAAACAAAATCGTAAAACTCGGTCGTTTAGTTAAAATCTGTTCACCGAATTTGTGTCGGAATAAAACATTTCAAAGGAGTAGTCTAATTATGTCATTATAGTACAATGATAATACGCTAATTAGCTACTGTTATTAGTACTCATAGGTGTAGTGTAAAAACGTAGGAAACACTATGAAAGTCAGTTTCGAAGGTCTCCTTCTGACGTCATTGATGAGCGGCCTATTGTACGCGATACACAATAAATATCTATTAAACAGCTTTTTTGTCAATGTAAGACTAAATAACTTAATAGTTATCTGAACATTTTTATTTAGAGTATAGCTGTCATGGTTCTCTGTAAGTTTTTACATTGGGTGTGATCAGACGTTCTATTTGAACGCATTTCAAATCAATTTGGTCCGGTTGAGGTTGGCCTGTAGAAAAGTTACACGCCAAAGTTATATATTTGTGTTAGTTATGCTGTCGTAGAAAAATAAAAACTCACATAACAAGCCATCTATTAATATCACTTGAATATACCTAAAAAATGGAAAAAAAATAATGAAATACCTCGAATTCGGAAAACCCGACTTGGTCAATCGATTTTCATTAAAATGAATAACACACTTAAAACTAATTGGATACCATATCAGTATTACTACGGTAAACATTAACAGAACGACGTTACAAGTAAAAGATAAATAAGTTAAAGCAATCACAAGTTTACAATCTTAATAGTTTTTCAATTGATTAGCAAATATAATAATGTTGTAGAAAATTTGTTATGAAAATTTTAATTTTGATCATAGAAAATAGAACAAAACTCTACAACGCACTGATTTGCGATAACCTTACATATTTTGTATCGCTCTTTATGGATTAAAAATACAAAAAATCACAATGATTGATTTTTATGGGAATAATATTTGACAATTTTTAACTCCGTTTATGTTTTCGAATATTTTTTAATAGTCTTTTCCGATGATCGAAAAAAAAAAAACAATTGTACTGGATAAATGTTTGTAAATTTGTGGAACGACAAAAATGTAAGCACAATCAAATAAACAGTTATTGATTTGTACTGGAAATCTTGTTTTGTCGCAATTGAATTGAATTCTAAACCGTTTGAAACAAGTGAAAATAAATTGCACTTGGAAAATGTAATATTTGTATTATTGTGTTTTTATTTTCTAAGAAGTTTGTACATACAAGATAAATATTATTGCTGTATGTGTCTTTTGCAATGCGTTCTGTCGGGGGCGAAAATAAATCTAAAAAGAATGGACCTAAGTTTTATTGCCAAAAATAATACACACTTCTCTTCCCGTGACGTCACCCATTATAACGGATTGTCCAATTTAAACCATCCGTCCTTTGCGCGAGTTTCCTCCGTACGGTTGGGCTGGTAACGTGCACTGAATAATATCGTTTACCGGCACAGTCCTCGCCAAACTTAATATCGACACTCATACACACACACTTTTAATATGAAATTCCTATAGATAATGTGCGTTTCACATGTCACGCAGCTGTGTTTTACACGAGGTCACATCGGGTCAATCATATTTGCCCGTTTCCATACTTACTGCGTTTGATCGAATCAAAAATCCCCAAGTCTGCGCATATTTCATTGTAAATATCTAAACCCTTAGAATGAACAATTTTAGGGCAGTTCAGTCAACATTGGTGTTTCGTTGTCTACAGAATTTCTATGCATTTGTAACGATTTTTTTCTCGCCTTACTGAAAATATATTCAGATAACTTGCCAATACAATTCATTTTGCATAATAATTTACAAATGATCAAGTAGCTTGAAATTATTTCACATCTTTTCGCACAATGTAATTGGTGTAGTAGTTTTTTTGTTCACCTAATAAAACCATTAAATCATATTGTTTTTTTTTTTCATGACAAA